TGTAAGCAGCCCAAGGTGTGATGGAAAAACTGGGAATGGGAATTGAAGACAGGGCAGAAAGAAGTTGATAGCAGCAATTCTTCCTCAATTTCTGAGGGGAAATAAAATCCCTGACCATTTTCCTAAAGCCCCAAAGTCCTGTTCGTGCTGTATCCCCCTTTGCCCCCCCGTCGCCCACCTCTCCCGTCCATCCCTCCCTCTCAGACACCACCCCTCCTCTCTTTCACTCTCTTCTTTCTCTCCTCTGTCTCTGCCCACCCCTCCACTCCCCCTCATCTCTTCAGGAGGCAGTTGTCAATCAAGTGCGTCTCCCACAATCCCTCTGGAGCTCATTGTGCCCGCGGTCGCTGGCGGAGGCAGGCGTTGCGACGCGGCGGAGAGCCGCAGATGGAGGGAGCGCTGTCAATCATTGTCACTAATTATTAATTTCTGTCACTCAGGCCCCCGTGGCAGCCATGTAGCGGGGCCCTCTCATTCTCTGTCTCTCCCTCCCTTCCTTCTCTATCCTCCTCCTCCTCCTCTCCATTCATTCTGCAAGTCCCTCTGCATCTTACTGTCCCTCCCATGTTCAGTCCCTCGTTAAAGTCCCTGCATCTCTTTCGCCTTTGCCTCTTTCGTTCAGGTCACGATGCTCCCAGTTCTCCTTCCTCTCCCTCTCCCTCCCAGGGTGAGTTGATTTGGTATGCCACCCTGTCCACAAAAAGTTCAACCTTTAGTTATGTGGTGCACGTGCACTCAGAACTGCCCCCTTCCCTCCTCTCCTCTCCTCTCCTCTCCCATCACCAGGTCAGTCCCCTTGACTCTCTGCTCCTTTTTAATTGTATTCTGCCCTCAACCCCTCTCAGGCTCTCATTTGCCCCACCTGAGCCAACCCCACCCACTACGTCCAACACGCTATGTCCAACTCCTATTCCAATTCCTCAAGAATCCCAAAAAGACACTAATATACACGTTTGCTTCTACTCCTTTTTTTAAGCTTAGATTCTGCAGTTCTCTGCTCAAGTTCTAATTGATTCAATGAACTTAGTATTTTCAATTTGCACACCAGCTCTTTCACCTGTGATGTCACTGTGATGGCAGCTAATGAGAGAGGCCTGACCCACATGTAGTTGCGACTGAGCATGAGGCCAGTCCACTGTGCTACAGGTTCTGATCTGCTCCCACCCTCACCTCATTACTAGAGGTGGTGGGCTGGGAGGCAAAGACGAGACAGATACTGTAGGTGGAGAGCAAGTGATTGTGCAAGGGAATTGATGATTAGGAGTTAAAGCACACACACAGTCATGAAAATACACTGCATACACACAAGTCCACATCTAAATATTACCAAGTCACCTACACACACACACATGCACAAGCTATACACATCTATGTCTCATGATTTACACACTCAAGTGTATTCCTAACAAACACATGCACCTTTAACCATACTGTATACATTCATCTTGCAAGCATTTTCACATTGTCACACACATGTATAAATAAGCACACAAAAACAGCATCTCTTATCACATATTGCATGTATGTGATATATAAAACATTAAATAACACATGTACATACATGTATTGCAGTCACATTTACTTGTTCACGTACATAAACTTGAGAATTTGCTCTCCCTTACAGTCATCTCAACATTTACACAAACACAGAAACACAGTTAGGCAAACTGTTTAAACAAATAATACACACAAACACACACACACACTATACACACATCTTATCCCGTCTGCTCGAGGGTTACCATTCGACAGACCTGTGCTGCTCTAATGAGGGGTCGATGAAGAGGCCAGCTGGACATCACTGATCCTTCACCTCCCTCCCATCACTCTGTAGCGCTCTCCAACCATCCATTCACCCACACACATACATACTTCTGCCCCCAGAAGCCCTTGCATGCCCCACAGTCCTGCTTTGCATACAGCTATTAACACCCCTCTACCCCTAACCTTCTGTCTCTCTGCATCCACCTCCTCCTCCCACGTCCCTCCCAGTGTCTGCCTCTTTTCCTCTGTCTCCTCTTTCCTGTTGCGGTTTTCCTCTGCACCTGTCACTTTTCCTTGTCTTCCCATCAGTTTTTCTTTTCTCTCCCTCATCCCCTCTTTCTCATCTACTCTTACCTGTCACTGTCTTTCTCTTCCCATTTGATTCTCTTTAGTCCCTTTATCAATCCCACCCCACCCCCCCATCACCAACCTCCTTTCTCTCCATCCCACAGTGTGTGTGTGTGTGTGTGTGTGTGTGTGTGTGTGTCAGCATTCAGCACCTCAGTGGAGACAGAGTTTATTGGAGTAATGCATTTATCACTGCTGCACGCCAGGCCCTCACCTCCTTCTTTGAGCCAGTGAGTAATGAAAATGGGATCATTTCTGACAACACACTGCAACACACACACAGATTCACACAAATACACTTCTCTATACATTCACTACAGCACCTAAATACTGTCACTAAAATGCTGAGATGTAAAACACACAAGCTTATATACAACACCACTGATGCAATGGAAACTGCACATAAATAACTAGACCTAAATTACCTAAATGACGCTTGTTCACAGGTCTTGACGACTTCTAATGGGATGACCTCTTGTTTCTCCACCCCCACATAACTGATTCGTGATGTTTGAGAAACTGCAGTGAATTCAGTTGCTATTTTGAGTACATCACTTCATATCATCTAAACTTACTGCATCTTTTTAGACCAGTAATCACAGTAGAAAATCTCTCTAGGACTGACAACTGAACTAACAAACCAACCCAAATACCATTAGTTGACTTAAATAGCCCCCAACCACAATCCTGAAACACAACCTACTGTCAAAGAATTATAGTTTAAATAAAAAATCTAAACATTTCACATGGAATTGAAAGGCTGCATGTCCAACTGCTTCAGTTGTTTCTAGAGAGAAAGAAATCAGGATCAAGTGTTAATGGCCAGGGGTGCCTGTCTAATCCCATTTGGTCTGGCAGAGTCAGGAGGGCAGGGGGAACTCTTCAGCAGTTTAAAACAAAACCATCACCACAGGTAATCCAGTTAGGCTCTGAACGGCCTTGACAGAACAAAACATTGCTGCAACAAACAACTGAAGCACCTCCCACTACATTAAACTCAAGAGGACAAGGTCGCATCAGTGGCAACATAAAGTTTAATCTTAGAAAACAAACTTCTCTTCAAACTGCATCCTTAAACACAGTGTAACGTAGTGGAGGAGAGCATTGCTAATACACCAAGTGGTGCGTGGAGAGCCTAAGTCAAAGGACTGCTGACTAATGTGCAGAAATGAGTGGAAATGCTCTGTGGTATTGCAGATGGCAGAGGTATTTGTTATTCATTCGGCCCTCAAGGTGCATCCACAAGGCTTGCATGAAAGTGTGTGTCTGCATGTGCATGTGTAGATGCGTGTGCTCACTGTTCTGTGTGTGGATGTGTGTGGCTTATGCTGCATCTGCAGTGCTGAGGATGCCATTAATGCTCGCTGCTGATCGCCTTCCCACATTTAAATAACAATAGTGCAGTCAGAGAAAGCATCGGTGTGAATCCAACCCACAAAACACCCAGGAGCTGCAGGCCCCACTCCTGCTGTGTGTGTGTGTGTGTGTGTGTGTGTGTGTGTGTGTAAGAGTTTAGGCACACTTGCTTATGCTTAAACATCCACCACATACATGTGAGTCTGAGAAAATACAGTAAGACAGACACAGGAGAGGAAGACAGTGAGAGAGAAGGCGGCAGGCTGCGCTAGAGTCTAAAATGCACAGCCACTGTGATGTGCAGAGAGGCCGTGTGATGAGAAGCTGCAGGTCCAGGAAGCTGCCACATAGTGTGCCACACAGCGAGTCATAAAACCTGGAACCGAGTTAGGATTTTTGCACTTCCAGTTCCGATCCCCCGAGGTCATTGGGTTTTTGGCTAGATACATTTTCATGTTTTATTCTATGACATAAAATACATGGGCAAATACCGCACTCGTAATATTTTACGCAGTTTATGCAGTTGCTAAAAAGTGGCTATATGAGACTACAGAGGCTGTCTGGGATATTAAACACCGAATACAGAGATTCATCTACGGTCTGCGCACTAGCCCGCCTTTACAGCCTTACTGTAGCCTATGTAAACTCACTCACTTGCAAAGTATTTTAACTGACACAGCCATGATCACTATCTAGATCAGGTCATGTTAAGAGGAAAGGATTTTGTAAAAGAGGTAATCGCACTAAATCAGTTTACAGGTTGCAAGCTGTGGTGGTGATGCTGAAGTCATGGGAATTTTTACTTCTGGCAATCATATTTGACTTTCCAAAAAAAAAAAAAATCATTAAAGTGGCCTTAATTTGTGAAGATTATCTTGCTGAACAAAATGTGTGCTATAAACTCTTTTGGTACAGAGTTTATTTCCTGCCATAATACTAAAGCCTGTGGGAAAATCCCACTGGCTTTTGGTTGAAGAAACCAGGGTTATGCAAACTTCCAGGTTGGCCTAGAAAAAATATGTGATCCCTACAGCACTCTATCAGCTGTACTGATGGCCCTCAACCCCAATGGATGAGCTGCCTGTCCTTTAAAATTAATACAGCACTGGACAGAATACAAACTGTAGAGACTTATTTTTCACTTCAGATATAATGCATATTTCAAGTTTGCCCTTATTGCAAAGTGCCTTCATTAAAACCATCTATTTGATATTACAGGCACAGAAAGGTACAGCAGAACCTCTATTCAGAAGTTGTCTTCACTAAATAAAATGCACAGTCATAAAATTCTATGGATATATGGATTATGAGCATCAAGCACACTAGCATTCATGTCGTCCCTAAGCCAAAGCAGCGATAAAGTCAAGGAAAAGTAACATCAAATGTCTTTCCACCTACTGGACACACACTTATTTTAAAACACAAAACAAACAATCAGCACAAGAGGAAGTGGGCGTACAATTTATAATTTAGCCCCAACAAACAGAAGCATCCTACAGTGGACAAACTCAGTCAAACTCAAGGGTACTTACCAAAAATGCATCCTATCGCCTATTTATAGATTAATTTGGCCCATCTCCTCGGTTGTGTCGTTAACAGCCCAATTAGGTGTTAACATGAGATAACCTGCTAATGTGTTTACTACATTATCCATCTCTAAAGTTCATTTGTTATCTACCGACCGCACCAAAGATATTTACTGCGCTGGTGACGCCGCTGTAGTGAACGAGTTTAATAGGATACAGTTTCCTGTGATATCTGCTGAAAATACAAACACACCTAAAATAATGTAACTGACTAACTTCTCAGCAGCAGTGCGGGTAAAAATACTCAGACGTCAGTAAGAACTGCAAAACACGTCTCACGTAGGAGGGCACATGGACAGGTGGAGCACAGGTGCGTTAATTACCTTGCGTCATTAGCCCGGGACGGCGCACAATTTAGCCTTCACTTGGGCACCATATTCAACAGCCAGTGCGCTAAGATCTGACCGGTGTTATGTCGAAATCTGTTTCCCCATTGACAAGTGTTTCCCCTAACGTTAACCTGACCTTTTTATTACTATGTGTAGCCTGGTGTGAGCAGACATATATTATACTTTCACATTTAGGATACTTTTTCTCAACATATGTTTATATTAGCACCGGGTTATTGTATGAAAATATATTTATTATTATTATTTTGTATAATTTTTATATTAATGTATACCTTTTTAACCATTTTGCACCATGTTAACAAGACAAATTCCTTGTATGCAGAAACATACTTGGCAATAAAAGTGTTTCTGATTCTGACATTTACATATCTAACATCTAAATAATGAGCCTTGTTCTTTCTGACCTTTAGAAGAAACAGCTGCACCCTTTAGCCCAGTCTGCTTATATATACTGTAGCTCACTGTTTGTACTTTGTGTGGATGGGAAGGTGTGCTTGATGAGCTCTGAATGTACACATAAGAAGTGTATGTTTTTGTATCTGTCTCCAGTGTGTATTTAATCCAAAACAAACTCAGGAGAATTTATCTTGACACAAATTCCTTTTACTGTTCTCCTTTTATAATTAAAGATACCATTCTGCCTCAGCATCTTTCCATCCACTTTTCTTTGTTTTTCAGTCCATCCTGTACATTCCTGCAACCACAAACACACACATTCCCCACAGACACAGATGTGGGATGCATCTTACCTCTCTGTTACACAGTCTGAAAATGTTCACTGTGCCAGTACACCCACTTGCTGGCATGTATATTCACACACTGAAATACACACACTAACGTGTATACTGTATTGTACATCTCTAAACATATGCACATGGACTGATCCCATTCTGATTCTTTCTTGTACAAGTGACCTCACTGTAAAATAGAAGGTTTTTAAAACCATGGTTCCCATAAATAAAGCACAACAATTCTCAGCTATCCTTCTGAAGGAACTGATACATTTAGAATGCTTATATGCATCTTGTTTTATTTCTCTTGTGATGTGCCACGAACTGATGCTTACCAATCACAAGAGCACACCAGCACACATGACAAGTAGAGGAAGGAAGTAAAGAGACAAGGGAAGTAAAGTAAAAGTGGGATGCCACGAGAGTAGATGAGTCGAGAGACTTTTGAAAAAAAAAAAACTGAGAAAAAGACAGACAAAAAGAGTGAGAGGCTGAGTCTAATAAGAACCAAGAGACAGCGTGCTGGTGTCTTGTGGTGCCATTTGAATACAGGGCAGCAGCAGCTGGAGTCTGTGTTGAACAGCTCTGCACTTCACACAGAATCACCATCAGGAGAGCATAGCGCAGGTAGTACTCTGCTGGAGTCTTATGCTGCTTCACACGCTCCCACAGACCAGCCTCTGTGTGTGTGTGTGTGTGTGTGTGTGTGAATAAGTTGGAGCTCCATGGTTGTCATTACTCAGCCAATGTAATGTGCTCCCCTTTCTAGCATACCATATTGGGGCTGGTGTTCCCACTGCTGGCTTACAGAAAGGAAAGGACTGGCCTCACCTCTGTTCTGAATGCATTAGCACACATCACAATTTCAATCTGGACCTCAGCACAGGTTCTCCATGAGTCTACTGAATAGTAACAGAGTGTATGCATGCAAGTGTGTGTGTGTGTGCACGCAAGAAAGAGAGGTTGCAACAGAGTTTAAAAATACCCATACTACTCTTCAGTGCTAGTAAGTTGTATTATGAGAAACTTCCAGGGCACACAGCAGGGTCATTAGCATGACTGCCAGATTGAGAGGCAGAGGAAGGAAGTGGAGAAGGAAGGAAAGACTGAAGGGAAGAAGGAAGAAAAATACCAAAGTTTCCAAAACAAGTGAGCATCCAGTCATGATTATGCTCACATAATCCAAAGACAAGCACGACCCTCTGACCTTTCACTGTCTTTCTCAGCCACTGCCACATTGATGATTGGCACTTCTACACAACATCTGCCACCTCTATGGTCCAATGAGTCCCTGCTGTTCATTAAGGTACGTTTTCTTTTCATTTTAATATCCGTGTCTATTGCTTATTCAGCAGTGATGGAAGCTGATTCACAATACAAACTCCACTAAGATTCAAAAGGAAATAGTTTACTTAATACACTTGTTAAAGGTTGTCACGACTGGAGAGGAGGACTTGTGCAAATCAAATGCAAAATACACTGAGGAAAATTGAGAGCTTTCTGGACAAGAAGAAAAAATTTTTGTATGACTAGAAAATGAATAGAAGTAAACTAAAGACAAAAACCTCTACATGAAAGAAAATTGAAAGGCTAATCAGATAACCGAGAAAGAAGAAAGTAAATAAAAGAGATAACCAAGGAGGAACACAGGAAAACTACAAGCTCTACTTAGTAAATAACATGTAGGTTCACAGGAAACTTTAGCTCAAATCTTCAAAACAGACAAGTACAGAGGAGATCAAGCTCAGGAACAGTTGGTATCATGGGGGACTAAGGGCAGGCTGACACAAAAGATGAAGCAAACACAAATATAAACCAGGAACTAGAGTCCAAATACTATGAGTAAACAGTTCAGAAGGGAGAAGGCAAAGACCAGGTCCAAAAAAAGTAATCAGGTGAGTACACAATGAGGTGCTGGATGATCATTGTACAGGATAGGGAAAATTTAGCAATGAGAGAAACATGTCTATAGTTAAATGCAGGTTGAGTGAGTGCACAGATGAGTGGAGGTTGAGTTAGTGAACAAAGACATGGGCAGTGGCTAATGTGACAGGGAAACATGAGGCAGAGAGTGGGATTGACACCTAATCTGGCAGCCACTTGACTAAATCCCCTAATAAAGTAGTTAAAACTAGCTTCAGCTTGGCCATTTAGAACATTAAGATGTTAAACATGCATTGCTGCTTAATCTACTTTTGAAACATAAACTCTATTTAGCAGAAAATATTTCACTTCTTTTACTATAATAAGATTTGAACGCAGGAGTTTCCTTGTATTTGTATTTTGATTTAAGGAATCTTAAATGGGCTTACACATAACTGTATCACTTTTATTAGGTGTGTGTATTTTTACAATGTATTACATTTGAAACACAAGCCTTTCATTTTGTGATTTCATTTGGCATCGCGCTAATCAATGTGGCACAGTTGTATGTGACCTGAGGATCATTGTTTTTAATGTTCTGCTGCATTACAATCCTCCCAAGTCTTTCTAAACACGTCCACTCCATCACCTTTAAGTCCACTTCTGCTGAAAATTCTCAGAGGCCTTTTTGACAGCTATTACAACACTAGTCTGCTGCCTAGCGCCGTTCAACACCAAGGAGCCTGTTTATTGTTTCAATAGCAGCTGCTTTAGTATTCCTTGTGCTGCTGTTGCTCCCTTTAGGAACAACAAACTGAGAAAAAACAAACAACACTTGCATGGCTAAAGGACATGCCTCGGTTGTAAAGAGATACATAACATAAAAAAACCCCAGATATTAATGGAAAGGCTAATAAACTCTTGATGTCCCAGAGTGTTGTGAGGGAGTTATTGCTGCAAGAGCAGGTTTTTCTCAGATTTTATTTTGAAGAATTGTCCAGGGCCTTCGTCAGTAATATTGACTTGTTATTAAACTTCACTGCTACCTGACTCTATTAAAATTTCCCCTGAGAAATTTAAAGAGTTTTTAACATTCTTTGACCAAAAAAAAAAAAAAAAAACACTCAGGATTTCAACCTCCCATAGCCGGGACATTCAGATTAGTGGCAAATTAAAGGAAGACCCTGAATAACTGAGTGTAGAAACCTAATGAATCGACATGCTTCCATACAGGACACAAAGGGTCATGGAATAGTTTGAAAAGTATGATACAATATATTCCTCACAGTTGATAGAACTTTTTTTATTAGGCATAGGAGAATCTGAACTGACGTGCTCACCAATACCATCATCAAAACACAAGCTGGTTTGAAAAATGTTCTTTCCTGAAGAACCTGATGACGAGGCTCATGGTGCATCATCTTAAGACGCTTCATGTTGTTTAGCTGAGTCATCCATTTGAATCTGTCACTGTAATTGCTGAGCAGTTTCCCCCCCATGGGACACACCAAGCCGATGGTTGGCCGTCAGCCACTGTCGGGCCATTGGTGATTCGACATGTTGAATTGGTTGGGCCTTGACGGTGAGAGAGACTTCTCTGATTGGCTGTTCAGCTTAGCAAATCAGTTCACAAGAAGAGAACATTTTGGGAAAGCTCCTTGAGCCTGTATCCATGATTTCACATGTTTTTAGCAGTTTTTCTTTGTTTTTCGTCTCCTCAACCTCCTTTCTTCTTCTACAACCAAAAGACCAGGGGCTGAGGAGGATTTGTAACTTCTTATCAGACATATTCTTGATTAGAATCGGGTAAAAACAACAGCTGTGTTGAAGGAGAGCTACTTTGTTTACAGCTTGTATTTCCGCTGTCTAGCTCTTCTTCCTTCCGTTTTTGAATGGTGAATACAGATACACCACCTGGTGGGAGGGAGAGTTATTTCTGTCAAGCAGGCGCAGAACATACATGTTAGTCGGCCTTTGGCTGTAGTCTGTGTGGTGTGTTCAAGTGCCACTTTTTCAACGTGGTTGGCCCGGACAAAGGTGACGTGAGGTGATGCAACAGTCGTCCTACATCACTGGTCATTCACGTCAGCTTGGTGTGTCTCTGCCCTAAGTCAACTGCACAACGATTTCCTAAGTTAAGCCTGCAACAGGCAGCGTCTTTGGTGACAGAATATTTTACAAGCCTACTCTTTTTTTGTCAGTGTTTAAATCCAAAATACTGTAAAGTGTTTTATGTCTGCATTTTTCTAAGAGTGAATTTATTAGTCTTAACTTACAAACACTAACAAACAAGATAACAATATCTCGTGTGAAACACTGACCTGTTTCAAGCACTGTAAAAATTAGGACTTAGCACTCAACTCACAA